AAGAAATTGATGTGGCAGGTGTTTTTACCTCACGTCTCCAGAAGCCCAAGAGGACGGTGTGTGTTCGTATATTTACTGCCCGCAAATATCAAAAAGAAAAGACGGTCAGTGGCACAGTCACACGCACACCTCACATTCGCCCCTCACAGTCTCCGCCGCCCCACGCCTCGTTTGGGCAGTCCGTGCGACGCACAGCCCCAAGACCGGCGCCTCGTGTGTGGGCGGCAGCAGCAAACAGAAGGGAGAAGGGGCGCCACCCACTGAGAGCGTGCACGGAGTGGCAAAGCAAAAAGTAGCAAAAAGAAAAAAAACATTGGACCACAAGAACGACAAGCAAACTGAGCGCACAAATAGTCTGCGTCGGCCCTGCCAGGGTGTGTCTCTGTGCGTGGTTACTCCTCACCACTGCCCAGCAGCGCAGGCAACGGCAGCCATGATCAGCGGCAACAGCAGTAAAGGTGTGCGCGTCATGAAAAAAGCGGTGTCGCTGCCGTCCGCCTTGCTTTTTGTGTGTTTCCCCGCAACAGGACTGCTGGTGGTCGTCGCCGTCGTGCTTCCATCTGCGCCGTCGGCGGGAGGGGTGGGAGGGGGCGCCTTCGATGGCGGTGCAGAGGTTGAAGGTGTTTGCGTTTCACTGGGTCGATGTGCCGCGCTCTTCTCTGAGCCGGCTGTGGCTTTGGACGAAGCTGCGGCATCGACCGGTAAGGCTGCGGGTTCTTCTGCGGGAGCAGGTGGTGGCGCGGTGTGTTCAGGCGCACCGTCAGCCTTTGCAGCTGTTCTTTCGACGGTGTCTGTTAAGGGGCAAACACCCGACTTGCCAAGCAGACCGGTTCCTGCACCATCAAGAGGGAGAGACGCGCTGTCAGAGGTCTTGCGTGTTTCCTGCCACTTCTTGTACACTCCGCTCGTGGCATACGTATCAAATTGCATCGTGAACGCCGTCTGCTTCGCTGATGAATCTTTAGGTGCGGGTGCACTGCACTTCGTCTTGCACCCCGCATCCAGGTACAGCGACGCGGCCGAGAGGCAGATGGACTCACCAACACCAGCATCGCCCCCATACTGAGACACATCCACCACAACAACGTGGTCAGTGGCAGAATAACTCTGCGCTTCGCCGGTATCCCCAACAACAGTGTAGCCAAAGTCTTCCACCGCAGTTGTGCAACTCTCCCAAGTCTCGTTGTCAGGAAAACGCCAATGCAACACCTTCCTTTCATCCGCACACGACACTTCCACCGGCACAATCACCGGCATCCATTCGTGCTGCAGCACAACAGGTTGAGAGTTATGCGTTGGATGAGTACTCCCAACCTCCGGCGCCGCCCCCCACACGGAGGAGCAGCAGCCGCACAGCAGCGCAAGCACCGCCAGGGCCCACACCGCACGGCGCCGCACCGTCGCCATCGCAAGCCGTCGTGGTGTTAGTGGTGGTGGTGGCAGAGTCGCTGGGGGCAGTGATCTACGAGGCGGCAGCGAAGAGAAGCAAAAAAAAAGAGGAAGCCTAACACGGCGGAGAGCACACGGACACACACAAACAAGCAGCCCGCGGAATGAATGCAGCCAATCAAAACAAACCAACAAACATAAAAAACACAAACACAAACCCCGTGAAGCGAAGCCGAAGCGTGGGCCGTCCACCGAGCAGTGGGGACGCGCAGCAGCAAGTGGGACGACCAGCACACACACACTCCCTCCCTTCCCGCACAGCCCAATCCAGGAAGAGGAAGAGGAAGGGAGAAAGAAAGGCCACCCACCGAAAGCAATCAAAACCAAACAATTGAAATGATTAAAGCAGTTACGGTGCTCTACCCATGCAGCCAAGCAGGACGGCAGCGGCCCCTCAAAAGC